TCATAATGTAAGGCAACATGACAATATTGTTAGTGGCGTAACTAAACGCGTTGTTTTGCTAACTTTCAACATCTAATTCTACTTGTTTTGTTTTCGTTGACGGAATAAGATTTGACATTTCTAGACGAGTACATTTAACAAAACACATGGATGATCAAAGAAACATATCTTTGTAGTAGTTTATAGTTTTACCTAGAACGATTGCTTCAGTCATCGAAGTTTCGTACTCGAATAAAATTATAAAAATGAATTAATGTAATATGTACATTACCTACTTAAGGATAACAAAAATATACAAGTACCTATTTGTTGTAAAATTAATGGTTCCCTTAAAAAAATCGGCCTTTTTGCATATTTTTAACTGAATTAAATTTTATTAATTACACACGTCTAATATTAATATTTATTTCGTATATCCAGAATGCAGCAAAAATTTCATCTCTATCTAATTTTATCAAATTATAAAATATTTAATTCTAATATTTAAAATATGTACCTAATATTCAACAGTAGAAAGAGATTTACTAATAAATGTAACTATAAAAAATCAATGTAATTTTAGGATAAAAAATCACACTAGATATTTTACAAAAGAGTGTTGTTTATCTAAACCATTTTTTAATTTTTCATCGCATACTGTTTTGCCAAAGATTAATTGGCGGAGAATGCTATATAGCAAGAATGGCCGACTTGACTAGACCCAAGGTCTACTGTTTACTTACGAAACCCCGTGCGATCTACCAATTACAAACTTCTTTAAATCTCAGATATAACAACATAGTTCAGTACACAAGTGTGTAGGATTGTAGTATTTTTTATTTTATTAAGAGGGAAAACATAAAAGTGAAAATTATTCCTAGTAACTTATATTAGTGTGAGCATTGCGTCTGAACATCTTTCGCTAGATTAGCAAAATATAATATTTTTTGCCTTGCCACGATCAACTGGACTAAATAGACGCGATCGACCGGTCAATCCCTATTGACCGGTTGGCCACCCTTGCTTTAAGCATTAAGTCCGCCTTTGTACCAAAAAATTTTTGTAATATGGTCAATAAAGAATAAATAAATAAGAAGCAAATAAACTACATAGTATAATACTACTTATACTGCTAGTCTTGATGTGAAACGACTTTCCGTATAAACCATAAAAGACTTTAGTACTTTCAGAGACAGACGGGTAAACAAGACCACACCGAAACGTATTTATTGATTTACCATCAAGGAACATCGGTTAATTTTTAATGTCTGTGTCCCAACTCCCTAATTCTCCTACGATTATATCCACATTATTCCATCTATTCAGTTTATTTGTCATCGAAATGCACCTCAGGCACGCTCATCGTCCAGAGTTTAAATTATTCATCAGGTCGTACAAAGTTCTTCATTTCTCATTACGTTGCTGACTTTAGACTTTTGGTTGGTTAATGAATTAACGAAGAGACATATTATTATTCTGTTGCGGTCTTCGTTGTTATTACATTTAATGAATATTGGCTAAAATTATTATAATAATTATATTAATTATCTATTGTCTTATTGGCTATAATAATCGCGTAACTACATACAAAGAGTTTTAGGTAGGTTTATTATAAAATAAATAAAAAATAAAACAATCCTTTATAATTTTTTAATTAGTAAAGTTTACTAATATTATAATCGTGAAAGTGAGTTCATATGTTTCTTGCCTTAATGGCTTAACCGATCACTATGAACTTTGGTATACACTTCGTATATTGGATGGAGACGAATAGAGGCTAATTTTAATCCCGAATAATAAACATATCCCGCTCATGCGGATAAAGTGCGGATAAAAGATAGTAAAATACAAAATATACTGAACATAAGCAATAAATTTATATAATTTTACATAGACACATGTAGAGTTATTCAACAGTGAAATGTAGAGCAAAGAAGACTAAGCAACATAATACGTTTGTAGAAGCGATTTGTAGATACGTACGCACACAATTCTCTTAATCTACATTTCGTAATACATTAATAATTAAAAATACATAAATAATACAGAAAGTAAGAAAGATTTTAAAAAATTTGCACTTGAAACTAAGGTACCATCATTATACTGAAACATTTAATTTTTTAATTTAATATTATTAAAAAAAAAACTTGTTCGCCATTCTAAGTGTCGAAAAGAAATTAAGTGATTTTTATATTCTATTTAGTTTTAGAATTCAATCAACGGATTATATTTTATTCTATTCTATTCATATCTTATGCTTTAGATACACAATAAGGCATTGTTTACACAGACGCTCAGAAATCACAAGACAGTCCCGTCGTTCACACGCGCCCCTCTCCAACTTTTATATTATTTTGTCACAATATCTTAGCTGCCATAAGTTATATGGGAATGGAAACAAACCCGTATACGCTGCGACCGGCTGTGCTCCTCAATAAATAACACCAAAGGGTTCTCTGGTCTAATGCTGTTAGCTCACGCGACGGCTACTTGACACAACTTTCTGCAACTGTAAACGTACACTGCCGCAATTATATAATATGTTCATTGTCAATTTTTAATTGAATATAAAAAGTAAAAGTCCTGAATTCGGTTGTTGCTTTCCGCTTATGCTGTTTTCTTCACCAGTTCTACGTAACTGGTATTTTGTTGAGTCTTATTAATTTGCCACGGTTACATAAATATAGTTTTGCATAAAATAAAATAATAATACGTTACTATGATTTTACTACCGAGTTTGTTTCATAAAAACCGAAATAAACTAAACTGACAAACCTAATTAAAGCTGAGATATTTTATTATATAATAAAATTATAAATTATTAAAATAGAACACTTATTATGTTCGACACCTTCACATATTTTTATCTTGATAATAACAAAATATATTCATGTTAAAAAAAAATTATATTTGGTGGATAACTTTACAATTCGTTCAGTACCTACCTGAGTTTTCAACACTCAAATCTTAATTAAATATTAATATCTATTTTATTTATTTGTATATTACTTTTTAATCTAATTAAATAATATTTTCTTAACAGTGTACGCATACCCTAATGTCTGCATTCGCCAACCCTTGACGTAATATAGCACAAGAAACGTTATAAATTGAAGTTAGCTGTCGAGTTAACTTTTTTCATTCACGAAATAGTAATAAACATAACTGCAAGCTACATATATTTTGGATTTTTAATGATTAAAAAACATGCTGCGAAATCGTTACTTTTGCTTGTGTGTTAAAAAATCTTACATTCACTGCAGTGGAAGAATATTATTCATAAAATTTCAATTTTTAACATCATAAGTTTTTTAACAACTTTTTACAAGTAGAATAAATGAAACTTAAATATATAGTTTTCTGTTACAAAAAAAAATACACAATACCTTAACTAAAAATAACAAATGCGTGAAAATAAACAAATAAGTGTTAATTTTAATAAAAACTAAATAAGAAGATTAATATATATTCATTTATATATAATCGCCTATAAACATGAACAGTTCCATGAACATAACAGAGTGCACTATGTTGCCCCAGGTACCCTTCATACGACTAAAATGTTATGCTTCTGTACCTTGTAATTTTACTGCCATATCCCACCCTTCAAACCGAAACACAGTTAAGCAAGCACAACTGCTTCACGGCAATCACTATCTCTTTTTCTGTTTTGCATAGAAAAATATTTTTTACATCAAGGCACCGAAAAATTAAATTATAACAGATTAATTTATGTTTTGGTCCATCGTTATTGATATAAATTTAGAATAGCTATATATATATATATATATATATATATATATATATATATATATATATATATATATATATATTGTATTATTCTTTAAGTGGCGCAATAAAAAATTAAATAAATAAGGGTATTTTCTGTGAAACATGTAAACTTTTGCCCATGTTAGTTTGGACTTTTTGGGGATTAACCATCGTTATATAGTACTACCAATAGATGTTTGAAAATTTTAAGTCGTTACAGCAAACCAACGTCTTTCACAATACGAAATTGAATTTTTCTTCTATAAATCGGTATGCAACTTTCCTTTGGTATGCTTGTCAGGTGCAATAGCAATTTTATCCGGGTGAAAGCTTTGGCCGAAGGCGGTGGGTTGGGGGTTGGGTCCAGACAGTCGACTTGTTTGAGAAACGGTTAGCTTGAAACCTTTATTTTTATTGCCCTTCCAACTGAAACAACCCTGAATCTATGGAAAGAATAGGTAAACGGTCACGTTCCACATTTATTGCAATTTTTCTTGATTATTAACAATTATTTTTTATAAAAATATGTTAGCATCTTTACATTTAGTATACCAATATTTTATTATATTTGTATCATAACTGTTGTCAAGTGCCACTGTTGCTGATTTGATTTAACTACAAAATGGTGATTTGTCATTTCCGGAATAATTATTTACCCGCCAAAACAGTCGACATAAAAACTAGAAGTAACAACGAACAGTGAACAGTTGTGGATTGAACATTGATCAGTAAAGACGTATAATTTGGTAAGTCGCTTTAATACAAATGTATTTTAATTGCAAAGTTGTGGAACTGTTAATACATGAGTTGGATTCCCCTATAATGACACGAGTTTTATTTCATAACCACCGACCTCTTAAAGGTCAGAAGTGGGATCACATCCAGGCAATATAGCCTTGATGATAAACTTAGCGCCCAATAATATATTGAAGCTATTGACAATTATAATAAATACTTACCAATAGCTTCAATATATGTATTCTTTATTGAGTATAGTGTAAATTAAGCAACTTATTATTAAAAAAAATTGAATTTAAAATTACTTTTTTTATATATGACTATTCAAATAAATGTACCCCACATTTTTTTTTTTTTTGTAAGTTAATCATTTATCTTTTATTGCAAAACTTTAATCTTTGTAAATTGTTATAAATTTGTCACTTGCATGTGACATTATTAAATATCTAATTACTAATATTTTCCTAACGAACAGTTACTTTTGTAGTATTTTTACAATTTTCCAGTATAAAATGGGCAGAGAAAAGAGATGTAAGCGAACTAAACGTCATGATGTTTCTACGAGTTCTGAATCGAGTGGAAACAATTTTCGTTCGCGACTTCGTAGTTTTGGTTCAACAAGGGAGCAGCGAACACGGCGCAGCGAAAGACGTAGCCGGAGTCCTCGGCGTCGCAGTCCTCAGTGTCAGTCGCATGAGACGAAGGGCAACAGCGAGCAAGTTTCATCGACACCAGTGCCACCAGTGAGTACGTCAACGAGTGGCTCTTTAGAGTTAATAACAATATTTAAAGAAGTGTTACAAAATATGAACTATAGTAATAATGATCGTTTTCCGGTTATTAATGTTATTCCTGAATTTGATCCAGCCAAACGAAATCAGACTATAGATACTTGGATTTTAAAAGTAAACGAATGTGCTGCTATTTATAATTGGACAGAGCGCCAAATTATTCACTATGCTTTACCTAAGTTAGTAGGGTTAGCCCAAAAATGGTATCAAGGTTTACCAACATTACTTTTTACTTGGGAGGAATGGCAGAATAAGTTACATTTAGCATTTCCTAGTGCTGAAAATTATGGGCAATTGTTAACGGAAATGCTTGCTTGTAAGGCGCGATTTGACGAGTCCTTAGAGGAATATTACTATGAGAAAATGGGATTATTAAATAGGTGCAATATTACTGGGAAAAATGCAATTGACTGTATTCTATTAGGTATAGAGGATATGTCTATAAGAACTAGCGCTGAAGCAGCACAGTTTTCTGAACCCGATAAATTATTAGTTTTTCTTAGAAATGTTAAAGTTATTAGGAAAATTGAAAGAAATGGAGTACCCATACAATCAAGCAATTTCGAAATTAAACGCCCTAAAATAAAATATAATTTGTCCAGTGTTGAGTCTAGAGTAAACTATAAATGTTATAATTGCGGAGAGGACGGGCATTCATATTTTAAATGTAAGCAACCAATCAAACGATGCGACGTATGTCGTAAAGTTGGGCATTTGGCTAGTGATGGCTGTGATAAGAAGGAAATTACCCCTAGTACTAATAAAACCGTCTTACGCATATCTTAAGAACAAGATAATGATTCCAAATATTTTAGGTTAGTCACAGTTAAGTTTCATAGTCAAATTACGATGTTAAAAGAATCAGTTGCAAATAAATTAGTAAGTTCATGGGAAACGACGGAATTACCGATATTGAGGGGTTTCCGTAATTCCATAGTAAATTGTGTAGCTAAATGTAAAGTTAACATTGAGGTAGATTCTGTAACTGCTATAGTAGAATCACTTATTGTAACAGACCATTTCATACAAGTACCCCTCCTATTAGGCCAGACCGAACAAGAACCAGAGGGAGAAGTTGTACAAAAGTCGATTGCTTGGGTACCTCTGTCCCATTCGTGTTTCTACCGTGAAGTAGTTGTGTTTGCATGGCTGTGTTTCGGTTTGAAGGGTGGGATATAGCAGTTCGGTTTGAAGGGTACAGAGGAATAACATCTGACTCCTCAGGAGAGGCAACGCATGGGGGGGGGGGTATCATGGGCGACACAGTATACTCTGTTATGTCCATGGTACTGCTCATGTCTATAGACGACGGTTACCACTTTCCATCAGGTAGGCCGTCAGCTTGTTTGCCATTCTAAGTTGTATAAAAACAAAATGAGTAAAAATGAGTAATCTTAATGACACTTCTCCAGTAGTTTATCGTCCATATCGCTTATCTTATTCCGAACGAGAAATAGTCCGCAATATAGTACATGAATTAGAGAGCGCTGGAATTGTTAGATCGTCTACGTCCTCATACGCGTCCCCAGTTCTGTTGGTTCAAAAGAAAATTGGTGACTGTCGTCTATGTATTGATTTCTGTGCTTTGACCAAAACGACTATAAAAGAACACTATCCATTGCCAAGGATAGATGATCAATTAGATAATTTATCAGATTTTAAATATTATACGGTTTTAGATATGGATAATGTCATCAGCCCATTAAAAATGGGTTTAGCCGGTATCTTACTCCAAAGGGCCAACAAGGATTTACCTTTAATGCCGTATCCTATTATAGCAGACATACATCTCCTGAAGAAACCAGGTTTAGTTTTTATGATCTAGAGACCTTGGTCGTAGTAACCTCTTTGCAGAAATTTAGAGTATGTCTACTGGGCATCCCCTTTACTGTAGTTACCGACTGTAATTCTCTTCGTGCTATGTTCGAAAAACGCGATATATTACCTGGGGTTGCCAGATGGTGGAGTGCCATGCAGGGGTATAATTTTAAGATCATTTATAAGCCAGGTACAACAATGTCCCATGTTGACGCCCTCAGCCGTAATCCTATTGAGGTCCCATTGAATTGTTCCGAAGTTCGAAATATTAGCACAGATTGGATAGCTACCGTTTAACAAGGTGATTCAGAATTAATGCGTATTATAAATATATTAAATGATAACGAGACTAACAGTAATTTAGATTTAAAAAAAAAAATGTTGGTGGTAAAAAAAAAGGGGGTTACTTTGTAGGAAAACGGCTGACGGTGATCGTTGGGTTGTCCCTAAGGGAGTAAGATGGCAGATACTAAAAGCTAATCATGATGATATGGGTCACTTTGGATTTGATAAGACTTATGATAAAATACATCCATGGCTCATTTAAACAGAACCGGGAATGATACAGATTCAAATAGCGCGGACGAATACTAGTCTGATCGTTTGATTGATTGCATATTGTTTAAATTAGTTTATATACATATATGTACATATTGTTAAGTTATATAACTATCAAAATAATGGTACTTATAGTGATTTAAGTAGTCAATTTATATATCAAATGTCATTGAAATTAGTTGTTTGATTGAATTCTGTACACTATATATATAAATGAGATTGTCAATTAATTTATATAAAGGATTAATATTTTTTGTGGAAGAGTTTAAGTATTGTTTAATTATATTAACCTGTATACTGGTTTTACCAAGTTTCAGTAACAAGAATTATTAATAAACAAATATAAAACTTAAGGACACGTTGAAGATATGTATGAGGCTTTAACGTGATATTGTTGTAGACATGGAGGGGCTACAACAATTAGTATAGTAATTTAATTAGATAAGTTAGAGACACATTGAAGACATGAAGGGGCTTCAATGTGATATTGTTGTAGACATGAAGGGGCTACAACAATTAGTATAGTAATTTAATTAAATAAGTTAGAGACACATTGAAGACATGAAGGGGCTTCAATGTGATATTGTTGTAGACATGAAGGGGCTACAACAATTAGTATAGTGATTTAATTAGATAAGTTAGAGACACATTGAAGACATGAAGGGGCTTCAATGTGATATTGTTGTAGACATGAAGGGGCTACAACAATTAGTATAGTAATTTAATTAAATAAGTTAGAGACACATTGAAGACATGAAGGGGCTTCAATGTGATATTGTTGTAGACATGAAGGGGCTACAACAATTAGTATAGTGATTTAATTAGATAAGTTAGAGACACATTGAAGACATGAAGGGGCTTCAATGTGATATTGTTGTAGACATGAAGGGGCTACAACAATTAGTATAGTGATTTAATTAGATAAGTTAGAGACACATTGAAGACATGAAGGGGCTTCAATGTGATATTGTTGTAGACATGAAGGGGCTACAACAATTAGTATAGTGATTTAATTAGATAAGTTAGAGACACATTGAAGACATGAAGGGGCTTCAATGTGATATTGTTGTAGACATGAAGGGGCTACAACAATTAGTATAGTAATTTAATTAGATATTTCAGAGACACATTGAAGACATGAAGGGGCTTCAATGTGATATTGTTGTAGACATGAAGGGGCTACAACAATTAGTATAGTAATTTAATTAGATATTTCAGAGACACATTGAAGACATGAAGAGGCTTCAATGTGATATTGTTGTAGACATGAAGGGGCTACAACAATTAGTATAGTGATTTAATTAGATAAGTTAGAGACACATTGAAGACATGAAGGGGCTTCAATGTGATATTGTTGTAGACATGAAGGGGCTACAACAATTAGTATAGTAATTTAATTAGATATTTCAGAGACACATTGAAGACATGAAGGGGCTTCAATGTGATATTGTTGTAGACATGAAGGGGCTACAACAATTAGTATAGTAATTTAATTAGATATTTCAGAGACACATTGAAGACATGAAGAGGCTTCAATGTGATATTGTTGTGGATATGAAGGGGCTACAACAATTAGTATCGTAATGTAATTAGATAATTTAGAGACACATTGAAGACATGAAGGAGCTACATATATCAATAATTCACGACACATAATATGAATAGCATTATATAATATACTTTTTTTTTCTCTATTCTATTTCACGAGACGTGAAAATGTCAGGAAAGGCCGACTGTTAGCATCTTTACATTTAGTATACCAATATTTTATTATATTTGTATCATAACTGTTGTCAAGTGCCACTGTTGCTGATTTGATTTAACTACAAAATGGTGATTTGTCATTTCCGGAATAATTATTTACCCGCCAAAACAGTCGACATAAAAACTAGAAGTAACAACGAACAGTGAACAGTTGTGGATTGAACATTGATCAGTAAAGACGTATAATTTGGTAAGTCGCTTTAATACAAATGTATTTTAATTGCAAAGTTGTGGAACTGTTAATACATGAGTTGGATTCCCCTATAATGACACGAGTTTTATTTCATAACCACCGACCTCTTAAAAATATTCAAAGAAAACGTGAAACGAAATTGTAATGGAGTTAATAGTATTGTTGTAAATTTCAATTATAATATCTAATATTTGTTATATATATATAATGGCAATCGAATTTATTTTATTAAATCCCTACAGTCCAATGTTATTTCAGATACCCTTAATATGTATATGTCGAAAATAAAATATTGTTGTTAGTAGATATTATACTATATTGTTATTATACCTAACTCATAATATAACCTATATTCTAAGCCTATATTATTCCCATGAATTTACGATACAAATTTTTTTACAAATATATTTAAAAAAACATAAATAGAGCACAATGATTCATACTGATGCTTATCTTTACTGATTACTTTGATTTATATTTAAGTATAGACTTTATGTTTTTGTTTTTAAAAAAAATAACATTGAAAATAATGGTTATTTCAATTAATACAAGTATATTAATTTGTAACCAATACGAACATATGTATATTTATACAGTATCAAATTAAATAGTCTACATTTAAATTTTAAAAAGTCGATTGGTCTGAGGATTTTAATCTAATTACATGCAACACTGAAAAAATTGCGCGGTTTGTTTTTTTTGCACACACATTTTATTTTAAATAAAATGTATGTCCAATTTTAGTAAATATACTGCCGAAGCAAATACAGAAAATGTGTGTCAAAGGCTAATTCAGTCAAATGTCAATTCAGTTCAGTAAATTTTAACATATTTTTGACACTCGAAGCTTTATTTATATGATCAAAAAGAAAAATACTATGTAACCAGTTGATTGAATTAGAAAGTTTAACATTATTATGTAGTTAGTAGTGTAAAATTATTACCTAGGTTTTATGATATAGATATTTAGAACCGAGGTATATAGTATATAATTTTATAATGACACTATGCATATTAATTTATTTTACTGTGTAGATATTTTAGATAAATGCATAAATTCATTTTTGTGTTTGACTAATATAAGGCTAGTGCTGACTCTTAAATAAGGTCGTGATTACGTATTTAGTATGCCTACGTTAATAGATAAGTGACCTAGTAAACTTCAAGCTACAAAAATATATTATGAAAACTGTCAATTTTTTTTTTTTTATTATTGAGGCGTCTAAAGTAAAAAAGCCACTTTGCACAGCTGAGCCGAGTGCAGGGGCGTGCGCAAGGGAGCAATAAAACGCGCGGACAATTTGTTTAATCAAAAACAAATGTAGAACTCATGGCCTCATCCCGCCCTAGGCGGTGCGGCTCCTGTAACATGACACTCTTTTGTTTTTTGTTGCGATGCCTCCCGATTTGTTTTGATATACGATATTTAAAGGGAACAATTTTAGTTATGTACAAAAGATCAATTTAAAGATACGATTTTTTATACCACTGTGGTGACGAACAAGCATACAGCCCCTAACGGTTATCGTAGCCTATGAACGTCTGTAAAATACCTATAATATTTTATTTCTCCATTCCTTA